TCAGCGGGGTTCACGCGGCGGCGCGGAGACGGGATTTCGACACCGAGGTGGACAAGCAGGTGAGGGCGAAGTGGGCGGATGGAGCCACGGCGAGAGGGGTAGGAGCAGGATGGACGAGATGCGAAAGCGTGCAAATCGTGCGAGGTGGTGCGCGATGTGGGACATAAAAAGTGGTACGAGGCGTGAAACTCGGCGTGAAACTCGGTATGAGGCAACGAAATCGGACCCACCTTTAGCGCCGTGACGTACTCCTCGCACGGCCTCACGTCCATCTTGGCGAGCCTCTCCTTGAGCTGCATCTTGTCCGCAATGTGCTTCGTCGACCCGTCGACGCGGATCGCGTAGAAGCTCGCCGCGCAACCGCTTCCGAACGCGTACATCCCGATCCGCTTGCCCTGCTGGACACCCTCGGGGTTGCTGGAGAGGAGCGAGGCGAGCGCGCCGTAGAGCGAGGCAGTGTACATGTTTCCGCAGCGCTTGACGCAGTCGGTAGAAGGAACGACGGCCGAGTCGTAGTGCGACGCGGCGACGCCGAGGAAGGTCTTCTCGACGATCTTGTCGGTGTAGGTTTTGGTCCGGTCGGTGTTGATGCCCTCGGGAACGGAAGCGAATGAGGAGTGGGAAGAGTTGCGGAGGTAGTCCTGCCCGAGCGTCAGCGAGGGGTCGAGAGGAACTCGATCGAGTCGATCGAGTCGATCATCGTAGCAATCCTGGTGTGGTCGGCGTGGCGGCTGATCACTCACGTTGTAGAACATGCGGGCGTGTCCCTTCTGGACGAGCTTGCCGTAAGGGCTGCAAGACATCAGCGCAGGTCTCAATGGACCGAAAGCTGACCCTCCGAACCGCCGCTCACCTGTGCAAGCAGACATAGTCAAACTTGGCGATCCCCTCCTTCTCCTCCGCATGGCCATTACCGTTCGCCACGCCGTTCCCGTTCGCGTGGCCGTTGACGAGCTTCTCCACGCTGCCGGCGACCTGGCCCGCAATGTCCGAGACCGCTGCAGAGACGGAGGCGAGGGAGAGCTTCTTGGCGGCGCGGGCGCGCGAGGCGGCGGCCTTGTCGAGGTACGAGGTGTAGGCCGAGTCGAGGGCGCCGAGGTAGGCGGCGATGGTCCATGGGCCGTCGACGGTGGGCTACGGCCGAGCGTCAGTGAGGCGGCACAGGGATGCTGCGACGGGTCTGGCGTGGCGTGACTCGGGATTCGACACGGAGCAGGCACCGGACGAGGGGAGAGGGACAAAAGGAGCGAAGACAGCGGTACGAGAGGACAGAGGGAGGTATGAGAGCCTCCGAGGCGGGCGGAGATCGGAGAGATGAATATGGCAGAAGAGCGTCGCATATTTCTCACGGCGGAGCGCGAGCGGGGGTTTGGGCAATCCAGCGCTGGCAACAAAAGTTCCGGATGGTGTAGCGTGGAAAGAGGAGCATCGGAGATCGCTCGTAGCGCTCGCTCCACTCACGTATTCCGCCGAGAGGTCGGGCTTGTAAAAGTCCCAGGTGTTGGCGATGTACGTGCCGTGGATTGCTGTGGTGATGTTTCAGCGCGAGCCACCTTCAGCGATCCGCCACCACTGTACTCACGCTCCACAACGAGCGGTGCGTTCGGACCAATGAGCATGGCGCAAGCGCCCATACCGCCGACGGGTCTGGCCGAGCCCTCCTTGTAAATGGCGATATCGCCGCACATGACGATGGCGTTCCTGCCGTCCCACGACTCGGACTGGATCCAGTTAACGCAGTTGAACAGCGCCGCGGTGGAGCCGTAGCACGCGTTCTTGTTGTCGATGCCCTCGACGTCGTGGTTCCCCGCGGGGGCGAAGAGGTTCATGAGCAGCGTCTTGGTGGCCTTGGACTTGTCGATGAGGGTCTCGGTGCCGACGTCGAGCCGGCCGATGGATTTGGGGTCGATGTTGTATTTGGACAAGAGGGAGGAGACGACGGTGAGGGCGATGGAGTTGACGTCCTCCCTAGAGCGAGCGAGCGAGCGTCAGCGAGCGCGACGGCGGGTGACGCGGTGACTCGATGGCACGGTGGAGCATTGGGCGCGGAGACAAGCGACGGAGGGCGTTGGAGGAGAGGTGGGCGGAGGAGGGGAGATGGGCGGGTGGGGGAAGAGACGCGATGGAGTATGGGCCTGGCGACGGCAGTGATGGGATCCAAGCCATAGGCGAGAATTTTTGCCCAAACAGCCGCACTGGTCGATCCATGTCTGACCGCTCCTCGACTCTGCTTCTCACCGACCTCTCATCACATTTCCTCACCACTATCCAGCGCTGTGCCCCCCCCCCCCCCCCCCTCCTAGCCGTTACGCTGCCGTTGCGCCGCCCGAGTGGACGGTGCACGGTGGACGACCGACTCACTTGTCATCCGTGAACGCCATGTACTTCTGCCCCAGACCAATGGTGTACTTGCCCTTGGACACCCCGTCGAACACCTCGAGGTCGTCCTCGGAGATGCACCGCTTGGGGAAGTACATGTCCATGGCGAGGATGCCGACGTTTGACGGGCGGGCGGGGATGTCGAACTCGGACATTGCGGGGGGAGTAGTGGCTGGGGTAAGAAAAGTGAAGAGCTGCGGTGGAGGTGTGAAGGGAGTGTGGGTGGACGCTGTGTAGACGATGCTGATGTTGTGGTATAGGATAAGAAGGTATGGATGAGGATGAGATGGACAAGTAGGAAGTAAGAAATAGTGGTGGTGTCTGCTCGCCTGCCCCCAAAAAGTCGGTATCGGTCGTCTCATCGTGCCATCGACGCGCTTTGGCTTTGTGCCCTGAAACAGTGGCAGCGGGGACCCTGAATTGGGTTCAAGCAGCAGCGGAGGGACCACCTATCATCGTATCGTCCATACCATGCAGTGCACCGCAGACACGTCCGCGTCGTCAGGCCCGGACATAGACACAGCTGGTCCACGGTCCGCGGCCCATGCATGCGGATCAAGTGGTGTACGAGTACCTGTACAACAACAACAACTCGCCCAAGGACCGATCAGCGAGGTCACGTGACAACACCGCTCCCTCTGCAACCAGCATAAGTATAGCAGTCCGTAGCAACCCAAGCCACCCAGCGTCCCGCCGACTAGCTCCGGAGATACCCCTCCCACCCGTCCTCCCTCCTCCCCTCGAAACTGTCCCTCCATCCCCAGGCGTACCCCCTGGATTTCCCGCCGAGACCAGAAGGGGCCGCGAAGAACCTGGGCGGTGGGCGGTCGTATGCGTGTTCTCGCAGTCTGCGACGGCGGCGGCGGCGGCGACGGTGCTGTTGGTTCTGATTCTGATTCTGGTTCTGTGGATTTGGTTCTGTGGCGTACACGGATTTGAGAGGGATGTGCTTGATCAACCCGCCCCGGGGATGAGGCGGACGGGACGCTTGGGACGCTTGGGACGCTTGGGACGCTTGGGACGCTTGGGACGCTTGGGACGCTTGGGACGCTTGGGACGCTTGGGACGCTTGGGACGCTTGGGTTGGTGGGGACGTGGAAGGGTACTCTGCTGGGTGGGGGTCGCGGCATACCTCCGCGACGAAGCACGGCGGGACACTCCCCTCGGCACGGAACACGCGCGGGGTGCCAGCAGTGGGAACGACAGATACGTGCGAAGGGCCAACAGGGGAGGGAACGACAGACATCGTCGACGTGTGCGCTGACGCCGCCGAGGACGCAATCGGCCCGAGGCGCTGCTCCGCGAAGGACGACGGGTCCACGGCGGACTCGTGTGCGATGCGGCGGATACGGTGGGCGACGTCCTGGGACTGCGGGAGGTGTCGGGGGTTCCTGCGGACTTAGCACGGCGTCACGGGAGGTTTGACGACCGTGAACATGGAGATCAAGCGGGACTTGACTCCGGGCAAAGAAGGGAACGTGATGTAGATAAGCACTGGAGGGTGGCCGACTCACGGGGGACGGGATAGTCCTCAATCGGGGGCAGGAGCGAGACCTCCTTGATAGGGCAGGACGAGAAGAGTCTGAATGCTGCGCAGAGTCAGCGCTGCGCCGAGCTGACAAACCGTCCCGACCCACTCGTCACCATCCTCTTCCTCTCCTCTTCCCTCGTGCTCCTCGCCAGCTCGTGCGCTCGCTCTTTGGCGAGACTCGTCTCCTCCTCGAGGCGAGCGGCACGTTCTCTCTCTTTCCGGCGTTTCTTCTTCGCGTTCTGCTTCTCCGCTTTGGTCAGGGCGCGGCCAGACTCGGCGAGGCCAGAACCGTAGTCATCGTGGTCATCGTGATCGTCGTGATGGTCATGGTCGACCCCGTCGCCATGAGAGCGGGGTATAGGGGCAGTCTGGTCCATGTCGAGTACGCCGAAACCCACCGGCGTGCATGCCGGTGCCAGGGCCATCGCCGAGGGGAGCAGCGACGCCATGAGGTCGGTGTACGCCTGGACCAGCGCCGGGTCGGGCGTCGACGCAGACAGGAAGCGCTCAGAGTCGGAGTAGCCCGAGCTCGCGGGGGATACCGAGCGGGAGGACGACGGCGTCTGCGAGGTGCGAGCCATGTGACCCATGTGCGCCATGTGCGCCATTTCCTCGTCCATGTCCATGTCCCGCTGTCCCGTAGTGCGTTCCGTCTATTCGAGCAGAGAGAAAGAGTATCAGCACCGCACTGAATTGAATTCACTCCTCGTCCAAAGGTGGTGACGGCGAAAGCGGGATCAAATTCAATACCGTGTGGTCGCAGCCACGCCGTCTACTTCGATCGGGGCTCTCATGCGTTCAAGCCCGGGTAAATCGACACCCCGGAGCAAGCGATGCATGCAGCCCCCGCTGACCAAGACACATCTCGAGCAGTAGTTGGACCTTGCGGACGGCCAACGACGATCAACCCGCAAAAACAGGTTTCGGTACAGGCCAAATCCGCCACGTGGCGTGGCGTGGCACTCAAATGTGGCACTTCCACCCAACCCACCCGCCCACCTTCGAATCCGCTTTCTGAGCCCATTCTGACCGCTTTTTGCACGTCAAAACGGGCAGAATGCATGCCGGATAGAAACAGGAGCAAAAAGGTAGTTCAGGATGGGTTTCGAACCCATGACCTGGAGATGTGTTAGGCGGACGAACCAAACCTTATTGCAATCTCCCGCCACTACCACTGTGCTACCTGAACATATTCTTCGTCTTGTTCCAAGATAAACAATATATGTAGCACGTGTACCATCGCTCTTGGAGAACCCTTGGGCACTTGTCTGCCCCACCTTCACGATGTGGCGACGTTTCACATTGTGCCGTATGGAATGAGACGTCAAAGTCGGCCCGAGGTCAACCTTTTGGAGGCGACGCGGGTACATGGGCCGAACTCTTCTGCAGGAGCATTGGTTTCGCATAGGCCCCATACATTACAAACGTACACTTGGCCCTGCCCCCGACTATGCTCTGTCTCGACTATTGTGTCAAGCGACGCTCCCCTTCGCTTGCCCGTGACGACGCGAAGTGATCGACTGGACCAATCGCTTGAGAAGACCGGGCCCCTCGGAGCCCTTACGGATCCTCGCGAGCCAGAACAGCCCTGCTCCGCATTCAGCTGCTGCACACCATGAACGAACCCGCGTGTCGCTGTTCCTGACCCACCGAATATGAGGATCGTGTTGAAGGCCACAAACGCCCACATGATCCCGATATCGCGGTATCGGTGGCTCGACGAGTAGGTGAATGTGCTGGTGTTGAGGTGTAGCCAGAACTGGTTGCCGGTTCGGTACTATAACAATCATCACACATCAGCGATGTCATGATACGTATCACGCGGCCAAGCGACATGTCACCCGGCCATGTGACACGGGCACGAGCCGACGCACGGTGCAGTAGCCGCAAGTCCCGTCGGGCTGGTCGACGTAGTATCCCACGCCCAAGGGCGGCTCCAACAGACTGGACGTAAAGTTGGCGAGGAACGTCCCGCACGAGATGCCAGAGGGGGGATGAGGATGGATAGCTCGGACTGGGTGCAGCGGATATCCTGCCCGTCGAGCGTGTTTCCGAGCAAAGCCTAGGGTACGGAGTGAGCCAACAGCCAGCCAAGCGTACGATCGGGACCCCGAAGGGGAGAGGAGGGTGCTGCAGGCATGAAGCACCACGCTCACCTCGATGAAGTAGGTGAATGGTGACAACGGGGGCATCCAAGACCTCCAGAAGTACGGCATCTGCGGCGGAGGCTGAGTCACGCCGCAGAAGATGAGCACGAAGGAGAACAGTGCGGCGAAGAGAGTCGACGCTGGGACCGGGGTCAGCGGTGTGGCGCATTGAATACTGTACCACGCCTGTTCAGGCCTAGACGCTCACCTATGACCGAGTTCGGGGCCACCGCTGCCATGCACGTCGCAAAGGTGAGCCAGTAGAACGAGAAGATCATCATGACGCCCTGAACGAGCGCGGGTGTCAGCTGTCATCCCACTCATTCTCGGACAGGCTCTTATCGAACGCGCACACCCCTTCCGCTCCCTATCGCGACAGCGTGTGTCTCTTCACTCACCCAGGAGAACGCGGCGAGCTTCGACGCGTCCCCGTACCGGACCATGTAGTACCAAGGCACCCAGAACAGCGTGCCGCCGAGCAAGTTCCACGGTATCTCGGTGAGCACGAACGTGAGGATGAGTACGGGCCAGGAGTAGAGCTTGGAGGGACGTTCGCGCGCTTCGAAGAGGTCCCGCTGCTGGAGGAAGACGGGCTGGGATTGCTGCGCGAGGGAGGTGGAGAGGATGAGGGCCATGAATGTGGCTACGGGCTCAGCGGACGTTCGAGTTCCGAGCGCCTCACAAGACTGTACGACGGCTGCAGATTGTGATTACGCGCGCCCGCACTCACCAAACAGCTTGTTCTGCAAGGCCGCCGTGTCGATCTTCTGCCCCTGGTCCCAGAATGAAGAACCGATGAACAGCCCGGCCAACGTGTTGAGTAAGATCTTGGCGAGCACGCTGCAAGTCACTTCAGGGGTCGTCCTGCCACATCATGCTGAAGAGGGTGAGGGAGGTCGAGGGGTAAACCCACTAGTTCGGTGTCCTCCAGTAATGCGCGTAGCTCCGCTTGAGCATCGCATTCAACTGTGTGCCGAAATTCGAAGCATAATGCCTCGGCTTGGGCTCGTGCGAACCCACCGCCTTCTCGCTGATGGGGGTAAGCACCTTGAGCGCCTTGAGGTCTCCCTCGAGCTGCTTGTTCAGTGGCGACTCGACGAAGAGGTCGTGCCAGGTGATATTGTGTCGCTTGGTGTCCGTCGCGATCACGTCGAGCATGTATTCGGCGGGGTTCTCCTCGGGGAGGCAGTCGCGTCCGGAAAACCCGCGGAAGTAGGAAATCATGTCTTTGCAGTCTTCACCGAGGTCGCCGAAGCTGCGCGACGAGGTCAGTGGCGAAGGGATGGAACTGTAACCGGGCAATGAGGCTGCTGGGAGCACTTGGCTCGTCACTCACTATACAGTCTCACCACCCCGCCTGAGCAGGAGCAAGCGGTCAAATTGTGAGAACAGTTCTCTGCGCGTGTCAGGCGCAATCTACCGATAGTCCTAACCAGCGACCCGCGAGTACAGTGCTGAACTCACCCAGACGGCTGGTGTACTGTACAAAGCACCGCCTGGCCCGCGTCCGCCAGCTTCTTGAGAAACTTGACGATGCTCCAGCTCGCCTGCGCCGAGAGCCCACTGGTCGGCTCGTCCAGGAACAACAGGAGTTTTGGCCTCGCCGCGAGTTCAACGCCTGCACGGAGCGGCGCATCAGCCACAGTATTCGTTTAGATACAGTACAACACAGCCTCGGGCCATGAAGGGGCCTCGATCGACGTACCGATCGAGAGGCGCTTGCGTTGTTCGACGGAGAGACCCTCGCCTATCTCCCCGACTAGCGCGTCCTGGAACGACTCCATCTCGAGCATCTTGATCACTTCGTCGACGTACGCGAGCTTCTCGGCTTTGGGGGTGGTCCGGGGCTGGCGGAGTATTGCGGAGAACTCGAGCGCCTCGCGGACGGTGGTCGAGGGGAGATGCTGGTGGTGTGAGTGATAGCACTCAGGAAGCCTGAACCAAATTACGACGTTCGACCCACCGTGTCTTGTTGCTGGACATATCCCGTCTCGGCCTGGAACGAAACCGGGAGGGCCTGTCCCCCTACACTGAAATTACCCGTGACGACCCCCGTATCCGTCCTCCGCGCTAGGACGTTGAGCAGGGTCGTCTTCCCGGCGCCACTCTCGCCCATCAACGCCGTCATGGTTCCCGGCCGCACGAAACCGGAAACGTCATTCAGGAGTCGTCGTTTCCCGCCTTTGACGGGGACCTCGTAGGACACGTTCTCCCAGATGAAAGGTTTGGTGGGTGGGTCGCTGAGGTGAGTCGAGGCGGACATTTGGGGTTGGATCTGTTTTTCGGTGGAGATCTCGGCGGATCTGGCACCGTCGACACCATGTTCACCATTGGCGCCGGGGACGCCGTTCGTACCCCTGACGCCGTTGGCGCCGCCAGCAATCCCAGGGGCGTTGGCGCTGTTGGGAATGTTGTTCTCGTTGGCATCGTTGTTCGGCTTCCGCACAGACTCGAGATCCGCCGAGGTGGAAGCCTTCGGAAGCGTACCCCGCTTGTAGATCATCTCGCCTCCTCCCGCAAGTGGGTCGGCCTGATACTCCGAGGCCGTGACGTACGCCAAGATGAAGAAGAACATGAAGCCGAAGAGGATGCTACGGGGTCGCCGAGTCAGTTATCATACGCCGCGAAAATGGACGGTCAGTCGTACCCCGCGTTGCGACCGGAGTTTGAGAAGTAATAGCCTGTGGACGATCGAGTCAGTAAACGGATATCGGACCACGGCTACGCATTTAGGATTGGACTGGGTGCAGATTCGGATGGCAGTCTTGTGCCGAGCTCACCAAACGCCATGGCGAGGTAGTCTGCGCCGTTTATCGTGTCGCTGCCTGGAGGAGCACCCGTACCCGCGCAGACCTGATTGGCCAGGTTCGCGCCGGGGGGGATCAACATGGACGAAGCGCAGGGGAGGGCGTTGAGGCTGGCGAGGGCGTCAACGGGGGCTATGCATGGCTCCAGATATGCAGAGGGAGGAGTCTTCCGAGATGGTGACTGTCGACTCACTTGCGGAACTCGTTGGACATGAGCACTAAGCAGGGAGGCGGAGTCAGTCTGTGTTCGAATGAGTCTGTGACCTCGACGCACTCTCAAAAGCAAAAGCAAGCGGATTGCAGTACGAGAGCCATTTCCACCACACCACCATCGACGGGCGGGGGATCACATAGCTGCACAAGTACGTCAGTTAGCTCAAAGCCGCCGCGCGCTTTCGCGTGAAATACACCATAGTACTGGAGAGCTAGTGCGCGAATCGCTCACCCGGTGTAGAGCGCAAAGTCGAGGACGGCCAGACCTGCCACCATGGTCGCGCGGGACTGGTCCCGGAATAGCGCGGCGAGCATGCGGAAGAACGCTGATACGCGTAAGCCGGGTGTGAACGGCCGGGGGTGAGGGTGGGCCACTTACCGACCATCGTGTATGTCGCGAGCAGGACGGTTCCGTAGAAGATGAAGAAGGCCGAAGCGGTGCGGGTGAGGTCGCTGTGGGGGTGAGTTGACACACCACGCAAGTACGGTGTCCCCGGCCATTAGCCCGACGATTCGTCCACTCACGTCAAGAAGTACACGATGATCACCAGCGGGGTCCTGTGATGCATTGTACTCCGTCAGCACCCTGATGCCAACCCGGATTGGCGCCACTCACACCTGTATACACTTGACCGGGAAGATCAGCAGACTATTCGCAATCGCGTCGGCGCTGGGGTGGATCATCCCCAACGCCTTTTGGCGGATGACGATCGGCCGCTGGGAGTAGCCCGCCGCGACCTCTGTCATGGCGCTGAGCGAGTTGAGGAGGAGGGCGAAGAAGCACACGCCGCCTCGACTGAAGAGCGAGGTGGTGTTGTAGGGCATGGAGTAGAAGACGGAGCCGGTGATGAGCGCTTGGAAGGTGTTGGCCATGAGGACGGTGAGGAAGGTGACCTTGTCGCCCTGATACAGTTAGCATTGGCCTGTGATGGGAAATCATGAGACGTGACTTCATCATTGGACACCCGGACTCGCAGCTCGAGGGTCGTGGGTGGGAGCAGTGCATACTGCATTCGCTTCGA